GAGGGGAGGGGAGGGAGGAGGGCAAGGAAGGAAAATAAGAGAATGGCAGGGCAGTGTTTCTCAAGTCGAGGGTAGGGAGAACGTTCTGAGCATGTGCAGAATTGCAGTTCAGGGAAACCAGCAGATGGACGGATCGGGTAGAAACTGGCAGCGGGAAATCTCAAGTGCAGGCAATGCCGCGGGAATCATGGAGTGATGAGACTTTCTCTGCTGAATTGGACCGGATGGATCGCAGAGTACATTCACACAGGGCCACAGGCAGCAAGTGCAAGCAGGAGCAGATGGCTGACAATTGGGGTGGAATGAACAAGCAATGCAAAAGGGTGTTATTGCATTCTTCTCAGGGGGAGGAGGAAGATTGAGAAAAAGAGGAAAAGGAGGAAGATGGAGAGCAGGAGGAAGAGAAGGAAGACGGAGAACAGGAGGAAAAGGAGGAAGATGGAGAACATGAGGAAGAGGAGGAAGGTGGAAAACAGGACTAGGAAGGTGAAGACCATCCGGCAGCCAACTCACAGAGCTAGTGCCAAACACTCCTTCCCCTTCCCCTTTCTCCCCCCTCCCCACCCCCATCCCGCATATTCCTACCCATATTTCCCACCCAGCCTCCTTGCATGTTTGTTTGTTCAACAGTTCAATGGCTTACCTTCTGATGGTCAACGGTGTTGACTAACCTCCTGCTAATGGTGGCTTTCAGGGGGACTAAATTTAGTGTCACCAGCCTGGCACCTGATGTGGTAAGAAGAGAGGAGATATCGGTTTGTGTGAGAGAGGAAGGATGAAAGAAACTGGTTGGGGGCATGCACTGGCATACACTACAACTGCAATGTGGAACACTTCGAAGTTTCAACTTTCAAGTAACTGTTCATTATGAATTTGTAAAACTTAGAACATTTTCATCTCAAAAGACTCAAACCTTCTTGTGAAATTGAAGGTGGGTATTCCAACCTCCACTCCTCCTTTCGACCATGCCTCCGCAAACCGGCGCTCCTTCTCAAATGCAGGACTATCATCCAGGTACTTCAGCTGTGTCCCACACATCCATCACAAGATTACCCCCCCCAGCAGCGACCAGATTCCCACCAACACAATCCGCGTGTGAATCATGTGAAATGATGGGTGGACCAGAGTCTCCCACCACACCCAATACACCCACCACACCCAATACACCCACCACACTCCATACACCCAAATCAAGGCCGACAACATCGTTCCGAGGAGCAGATAACAATTCGAAAGAAAGAAAAAAAAAAAAAACAGTTTGAACTTTTTGCAAAAGATAAATGATCTAAAGCCCCAGCAGAACCTTGACAAAAAAAAGGAAAAAAAAGCACTAGCAGAAGCTCCAGAACCCAGGACAAAGCAGCTCATAACACAACTCCAGTATTAAGTAGACTCTACAGGTCCACAGCACAATTCCTGGCAAAACAGAGAGGCCTGCAAGAGAATCAACTGCTTTTTGAACTTCTGTTTTCTTTTACATTTTTTCCACCCTGCTCTCCATTGCCTACAAAGTAGAAGTAGTTACTGAACAACGTGCGCTTAGGGCATCAGGCCCCGCCGTGCACACACGGCCTCGAACCGGCACCGTCAGCCTCGAGAACGGAGTCTCCTAACCACTACAACCCTTGGAGGTGTTATGGAAACTGGATCCATACCGGTCGTGATATATCCAGCCCACCCCCAGGGCTGTACCGTCCTTGAACTCACACCACACACACACCACACCACACCACACCACGGACACAGCAATCAACACACTCTGCTCAGACAACACGCAGCCCCACCACCGCTACTTAACCTGGTCACTCCAAGGCGGGCCAGCTTACCCGCGGGCTCCACAGGCGCCTTCACAAAGTGATGGCCTAACTCATAAAAAAATTATTATTATTATTATTATTATTTTTTGAGAGTCAGGTCGAATCCCCTTCTATTATTCCAGGTGCACAACTGTATCCAGGCCCAGTGGCCTACTGCAGGTCCCTGACAGAAATTCCAAGCAGAGGATCGCTCCCAGCTCAAGTCCCATAGCTGGGGTACTTGGAACTGCAGGTGGGACTTGGAATTGCAGGTGGGGCTTGGAACTGCAGGTGGGACTTGGAATTGAAGGTGGGGCTTGGAACTGCAGGTGGGACTGGAAATGCAGGTGGGACTTGGAGCTGCAGCTGGGACTACATAGAACCTCTCCAAGTCCCAGCAGGTCACATACCAGAATCTGCAATTCCATGCACAGGACCCATTGCCACAAGGCTATGGTTTTTCTTTTCCTGCTTTTTCCTTTTCTAAAAAAAATCATTTTTTTTTTTGATTGAATTGATTCTTAATTTCTAAGTGGATTACAGGTCAACAACACACTGTGGGTCCAAAATCCATCTCAAGGCATACACTGGCAACACAAACAGAGGTTCAGAATCCATTTAAACTTCTGCAGGAGTGCTCACCAAAAAACTTTCCTGAAACGTATGGCCACGGTTATGGCTACCGTCTTTGTCTGAATAGAACGCCCTGCTTACATACATGTTAAACAACCAGTACCTTTCCCATATATCGGCCGAGGGCCCCTCACCGCGACTTTCGGAGGCCCTAAATGCAACACAGGCCACCGATGAGATTTGTCAATGGCGGCTGTCGCGCATGTGTTTTTCAAGCGGGGAAAGGCACTGGTGGTTTAAATGGGCCCTGTCCGTTGGAGGAGATCTGAGTTTATGGTGAGGTTTATCGTTTTAGGGTGCTAGAGCTTAGATGGGCATCAATCATGCAAATTAGGAACGGTAAAAGTTTGTAGCGTGGAGACAAGTTGCAAGGTTACGGACGTGAAAAGGGTCCTCTACTCCCTTCTCTCATCCCTCTCTTCTTCCTCTCTCCTTCCTCCTCCTTCCCTCCCTCTTCCCTCCCTCTTCCCTCCCTCTTCCCTCCCTCTCCCCTCCTCTCCTTCCTCTCTCCTCCCTCCCTCTTCCCTCGATCTTGCCTCCCTCTACCCGTCCTCTCTCCTCCCTCCCTTYCCTCCCTGCYCCCCCYCTCCTMCCTCTCCTCCCTATCCTCCTCCTCATCTCTCCCCTCCTCTCCTTCCTCTCTCTTCCCTCCCTCTTCCCTCGAAATTGCCTCCCTCTACCCGTCTTCTCTTCCCTCCCTTTCCTCCATGTCCCCCCTCTCCTCCCTCTCCTCCCTCTCCTCCCTCTCCTCCCTCCTTTCCTCCACCTCCTACCTCTCCTAACTCTCCTACTTCTCCTACTTCTCCTACCTCTCCTACCTCTCCCTACCTCCCCTTCATCTCCTCCTCCTCCTTCCTCTCCTCCCTCACCCCTGCTCCTCCTCTTCGCTATAGTCCTGTTCATGCTCCCTACCTCTTCTCTGCTCTGGGGAGTCGTGGGGATAGCATTTCAGAATCCTGCCTCAAAAGTCTCACTTGAATGCGAATTGATACAATTGAGTAGCTCTTTCAAAGGCAGGCTAAGATCTGTTTGATGTGGCCCTAAGAGGCTGCATGGGCACCACGGAGAACCCACAGAATCTACGTTGTGCTATAAACGTTAGCAGGAGGACTGTGAACATCAACCTTAAAGTCCAATCCAATGTTGTTCCCTTCTGGGACAGCTTGGGACTCTGCTCCACCAAGAATGCTGTTCCCCTTTGAGCTCACTTTGACCATTGCCCCCCAAGTTATCCCATTCTCTTCCCCAGTCCAGTTGACACGGTGGACGTCCTCAAAATGCTCTGTGGCTACGCATGTGCAACATACACCCCACCCTAGGAGTTCCTCCTTCCCATGAGTACCCCTCTTGATGTGCAACCCCCTACCCGTCTATACCCCTGGTGGTGGGTAGCCATTCCTGTAGATACCCCTGCGCGTGGGTAGCCATTCCCATGAATACCCCCTCTTTGTCGGTACCCTTTTTCACAGCCCTATCCCTGCCCATGAGTACCCCTGTCTGCGGGTACCTCACCCTCCCCACTCCCCCTAGGTACCCCTCCTGTTGGGCACTCCCTCGCCAGGGGTACCTGTCTTTGTGGGTACTCGCTTTCTATGGTTAACCCCTGTTTATGGGTGCCTCCATTTTAATGGGTACCCCTTGTCCATGAGTGACCTTGTGGGGGTTCGCTCCTCAATCCCATCCTCCTGATGGATGTTGATACGATTAGAGAACTCTTGTAGACTACACAGCTCAGTGCCCATTGCATCCCTTGGTGCTTGAGAAGGGGACATTTGTAATGCTGGGATTGGGTGGAGGGCATGTCGGAAAAATGGATGGGAACACACCGAGGGCATGTTTGCAATTGTCTTCTTCCGGTAGTTTCTTGTTGAGCTGATGATGGGATTCCCCATCAGACGTAGGAGGCTGAGTTGTAGACCTCTGATAAGCTGCAAACATCCGCATGACGAAACAGCCATTGGGCCAACAAAATGATCAAAGTCAAATAATGATCCCAGCTCATACAGCCTTCTCCAAGATGACTTACAGCCAACTCATTGATTTAAAAACGATTAAAAATCACAGCACACACACACACACACACACACACACACACACACACACATACACACACATACACACACACACACACACACACACACACACACACACACACAATCATACTATTCAGTTCTTTCTTCCTCTCCTACATTTTTTCCTTATGTTGCCCACTTTGTGGGCGCTGTGGCCTCTTCCCATGATTCCACTCAGCATTCAAGTGCAGCACCTTTGAGATGTGGCAAATAGTCAGAGCGCCTGTTTGCTAGAGGTGCCTGCAAGAGTATTGAGGGTGGCATGAGCCTACAGTCTTCATGGTCGCGCTGTTTGCTAGAGGTGCCTGCAAGAAAATCGACAGTGTCATGAGCCACTTTGTGTGCGCTGTGGGGTGTGTTCAGGATGCACATGTGTCACTTTCTGACTCTTCATGGTGGCATGAGCCTACAGTCTTCTGTTAGGTGATAGTCTTCTTTGGTCCCTGACTCCCTGCTGTATGAGTGTACTGAGGTGCTGGTGCTGCCCTACTGTTTGGTCCCCTGTCACTTCGTCATACAACACCTTTCTGCCTTGCTGCTTGGCCTTGCTGCTTGCCTGCCTGCTTGCCTCCCTTGCCATGCTCTGCCGATCTCTCCATCTGCCCGTTTGCTTGGTTGCCTTACTGCGTACCTTGCTGTTGGCCCAACTGTTCGCTGAACCGTGTGCCTGGTCGTTCCTTGGTTTGCTTCTTGGCTTGCTGAACTGTGTGTGCATGGGGGTTCCTTGGCATACTGCTTTGTTGCTTGCCTCCGTGCCCAACCACGCATCCTTTGCTTTACTGCTGCCTGTTTTGCCTTGGCTACTTGTGTTGCATTGTCACTTGCCTGACTGTCCACTCACAACAGAGGTCGAGGTAGACTATGACTCGAAGCGCCAACATGGGGATTCTGCAGAATGTTGAGGGTTTGGTCTTCGGATGAGTCAGCGAGAGTCCAACAACAGTCTGTCACTAGCCTTGCTATGCTCTGTTCTTTTGCTTGTCATGATGCGAGCTGCGCTGCTATCCAGATCTTGTGTGCGAATCGTTCCGGGTCGCGTTCTGTTGGCATTCATCCTTGAGGGAAGTGGTTCACGGCACTCAGTTTTGGAGAACTACTTGTATGTACTTCTATAAACATAAACACAAACACGCACACACACACACACACACACACACACACACACACACACACAATCAGTTTTATGCATATCTTTCTCCTTGTACTTTGCCTGTCTGTTTTCCCCCTGTTTCATTCCAAGAACGTTCTGTGTGTCCGTGTCAGCGCCTTTAAGGAGTGCCAAACAGTCGCTGGTTGGCTGTTTGGAGTGCCTGTAACGCTATTATCGGGGCATCTCTGTCGGCGATGTCTGTGTGGTGCATATGGTCTATGGGTGATGACAGACATTCGTCAAAGTGGCTTGCTGGCTCAGCGGAAGGTGGGAACCAACAGTCTGAGGGATTCACTCATGATGTGAGTAGGTAACATGCCCCTTTGATCCTTGCTGCCCGTCCCGCTTGCTTCACATGTCGTTCTTTGCAGCTGCTGTGTTGACTGTGTGGTGTGGCCACGTTGTTAGTGTTGCCTTGTGCTTCATTGCGCTGCTGCCTTGCTGCCCATCTGCATGTCTTGCCTTCCCCGTTTTTTGCTTGTGTATGCCGTGTAGTTTGGCTGCTTTGTTGGTGTTTCCTTGTGCTTCACTGCGCTGTTGCCGTGATGCTCGTCCGCTTGCCCGGCCGTTCATGCAGTTAGTCAAAGGGTTCATAATCTAAACTGCGGTGTTGTGCAGCTGGGTTGCCATGGGGCTTCGCTGAGCTGTTGCCTGCTGCTGGGTTCTGCTTGCGGACAATCAGCTCTCAACAAGACAAGAGTCAAAGGGTTCATAACTTCATAGCCTAAAACATCAAAATACGGGGATTACGCATATTGTCGAGGGTTTAGCATCCTGATGAGCCGTTGCAAGTCCGCCGAAACATTCTATCATGATCAGTTTGTTTTTTTTTTTTTTCAAACTCCTGAGTCCTGGTATTTTTTTTAACAATTCGAAAATTGAGGCCGGGGACCTCACAATTGTACATGATTAGGTTTGGTTAAAAAAAAAACATTGTACCTGGAGTTAGCTTGGCAGCATTACCCAGTTTCACGCTTTATAGCTCGACCGCTCACAGCCGCTCACAGCAGGACCTCGATCGAGCCTTTGGCTAGACTGCCTCTGCCTGTGCTTCCTATGTGCCCCCTTGCTCCTCTCAGGTGATCGAGCTGTCGGCTGTTCTTGAAGCTCTAGAGTCAGTGAGGTACTAGTCCAGTTGGCTGAGCCCTTGAGCGTTGGAGCCTCGAATCTCAGTTGGCAAAACCTTGAACCCTGACCGTAAGTTCACGTCTACCTCGATACTACACGTCTCAGCAGAAGCTCAGGCTACTGCTAGTCCATGTGTCAGGGCCGCCCCCAAGGCTGCTTCCATGGGTCCGTCAGTGAGTGTCCATACTAGCTTTGGTCTGACTCCTATGTCGCCCAGCTGTCCTGTGCTCAGTCTGTCCTTGGAGAATTTGTCTAAGATCTCTTGTTACTTTGTTGGGTCGTCCTTGATACTCTTCAGTACCCGGTTCCTGTCGGACTGATACTCAATCCGCAGGTTCAGCGTGACCGTCTCCCGTGCTTCTTCCTGTGACACGGATTGCTCGTCGATTGTTTCCTTACAATGCCGCTTCCAGATTGCCCTGAGTGGCAACAGGCGCAGTCTGTGGACGAGAGTCATTTGCCACTTGTCAGGGAACCTCAGATGCCAATCCTGTGAGGCGGGTAGTTGGGTTATCTGGCAGCGGCACTGTGTTCACGGTTGTCCACAGGCCTTCCACACTGGCCCATAGCTGTCGCGCTTTCGGGCAATGCAAGAGACAGTGAGACAGGTCCTCCTGTACACCGTCGTCACAGATCGTACAGACGTCATCAAACTCCTGCCTGGCCGCCGCCCTGCAGCGTCTGTTGAGCCATTTGCTCACCCGGAAAACGTGGTAGCAGTAGATGAGCCATTGCATACTTTCGAATGTGCGTGTTTCTCATAGCGAGAGGAATGTGCCATGGGAGTGACGTGTGTCCTTGTAGGGTCCCAGGGAGGTGTTTCTCCCATCTCTGGATCAGAACGTCGTTAGCGTTGACCGCTCTCCTTCTGAGCCTGTAGCCCAGGTGTGTGGTGTAGTGTCGTTTTTTTTTTTTTTTGGCTTTTCTTTTTTTGTATTTTATTATATTTTAAAAAGAAAAATGCAGGTTTGTCTTCTCCTCATATGGGGACAGCCGCATGTTTTTACTATGCTATTACCTTCTCTCAGTATCACACTTTGCACTACCTATCCGGACAAGCAAGGGATAAGCCATATTTTTACCTCGCATTATCTACCCTGAGCGTACAGGAGAGGCCAACTATATACTACCCCAGTGTTGCACGCGCCGACCGTCGGCGACCCCTGACTGGTCGGCACCTACCGGTCGGGGGTCGTCGGC